ACTATTTAGAACAAAAGTTTTCTTGCTAATGTTTCGAATCTGTTTAAAATTGGAGCGACAAAAACCAGACCCAGTGGCTCATGAAAGGAAAACGAGGACCGTTGAGGACACTTCATTTTGGAGATCTCATGAGAGCAAAGATGAGAAGACATCTTCTTCTGGCGAGAAAACCATGTCAGTTTAGAGCTGCATGAAGGTGCAGCTGGTAGCAAGAAGGTTGCTGGTTCAAAGCCCAGCTGGCATTCTGCTCAGAGTTTCTCCCCATGTGTACATGGGTGTGCGCCGACTCTCCTCAAATACAAAAACAAACGGTTATGTTGATTTGGATCAGCTAAACTGAACCGACAAACATTTAAACTCAAGTTAGAAGAAGAAGTCTTTTATCGTCTGAAGCTAAAAATCACGAGGCACTTCACAAGAAGTAAAAAATGATGAAACATATGTGGAAAAGTAGAAAAGTAAACAGGGGCGACAGTGGCACAGGAGTTAAGTGCTCACCCTGTAATCAGAAGGTTGCAGGTTCGAGCCCCGCTCAGTCTGTCGCTGTCGTTGTGTCCTTGGGCAAGACACTTAACCCACGTTGCCTGCTGGTGGCGGTCAGAGGGACCGGTGGCGCCCGTGCTCGGCAGTGAGTGCGCCCCAGGGCAGCTGTGGCTACATCGTAGCTCATCCCCAGTAGTGTGTGAATGTGCGTGTGAATGGGTGAATGACTGATTGTGTTGTAAAGCACCTTGGGGGGTTCCAGGACTCTAGAAGGTGCTACATCAAATACAGGCCATTTAAACTTGTGATAAAAAAGGTTATTTTACACTAATAACAAAGATCTGTTCCCTAATAAAACTGTCCTTCAGTTCTCTGTCGAACAAAGCAGCTTTTATGCTTCTGTTCATTAAACGTAGACTTTTCCGGGTTTGTCCGTGGAGCCGTTTGGATTCACATTCCATCCTTCACTTTTTCTGAGCCCACAGGTTGTGTTTAAAACAAATGTCAGTTTAACAATTCAGCCCATAATTTCCCCTTCCTGCTAGTTTGGTGATCTGAGATCTTTACTCACTTCTCTGGCTTGTGCAGCTCATGTATAGTTAAACATTTAAACGGCTACACGGGGAACGTTCCCTCACCTTTTACAGGAGCGACAGACGCCTCAAAGCACCCGTCAGACAGGATTTCCCCCGTGTGAATGTTTTCCACGTCCGTTGTGAGATCAAAAGCTTTTGTCCTTGTTCAGAGCTCGGCTCTGTTCACGACGAACAAATTGGTGTTTAAATTGGCACTTCTGCAGTGGATTTAAGAGGAGATGCCACAGGCTCTGATCAAAGCAGAATTGGATCACGTTAAGTCAGAACCACGACAGACGGACCTGTGGGTCTTTCATCAGCAGCTTACTTACAGCCTTTTGAAACACCAGCTCCACAGAGGACTTCACAAACTCTTTCCTTTTTACGTATCTGTTCTTAAGGGGAACTGATGCAGGCCACAGCAGCTCATCACCGGCACCAGAGGACCTCCAGACTCAGAAAAATTAGGATTTCTCCTGAAGGATCCGTTTAATGTTAACATGATGATGAAAACAGCAGAGAAGGCACCACAAGTCACTGATGTTTGTCCCTTCGTGACTCATGACGAGCATCAGTCACCAGAGTCTGGATTTTTAATTCAGAACAACACATCTGTTTTTATTTCACGATAATGGCTCAGTGTGACTAAAAACACAAAAATAATGTCCTTTGATGTTTCCATGCAGCTTATTTATTCACTTTGTCACAGTAAAGTGGGAAAAAGCTGCAATTGTAAAATTTTGTTTTTTGACAAGACGATTTTTAAATATCTTATTTTGTAAAATCTCAAATATTCTAATGTGAAAATCTGTGTTGAATATTTGTCTCCGGAGCACAAAAACAAATAAAAAGTGTGTTTGGTTGATTTTTTTCCTTTGATGTAACGGTAATTCTTGGTTATACCCAACAAACATTGGTCCGACGTCGACGTGGCGCCCACGTCCAAAATGGTTGCGGTAGGACGGCCCAAATTTGTAAAAATAATATAACAGAACATGCCTTAAAAATCAATTTAGATACATTTGGACAGGCCTACAGTTAATTGTTATTTTGACAATTAGTTACGTGTAGTTCATTATAGCATCCCAGCAAATATTGGTCCGATGGCAACATCGTGTCCACAGCCAAAAATGGTCGCGGTAGGACGGTCCAAATTAAAAATAATATATAACATAACATTTCCTAAAAATCCACTCAGATTTGTAGTTACATGTATAATTGTTACGTGTAATTCACGTCCAAAAAAGACGTCGGTTCAACTTTCATTCTGGAACTATTTTTCATGCATGACGGGACGTGTCGGCCTGACGTCTTTTCAGCGTCGATTAAACGTCCGAATGTTTGCTGGGTAAGGTTTTCCATTAGTGATCTTCACCAGGTAGAATGTTACCAGCTGAACCTGTGTGCAGAATCTGATGGACATTAGAGATGTTTACACATCTAGCGCTAACTAACGAAACCCCTCCCTGAGCCGTTTCTGAAGTATTTTGTGTTTTATGAATCAGAGCTGACAAATCTGGTCTTCGGCACAGATATGTCGATCAGGTACGGGATCTGGTCATCCAGCTGAGTCCTTGCTTCATGCTCAGCTAGCTAGGAGCTACTAAGTAGCTGCTGATGTCTGCTCTGTCTTCTCCATCCCCAGTGAGTCGTGGTGGATGGCTGCTTATACTGAGCCAGGATCCTCTGGAGGTTTCTTCCTGTGAACTCATTCGCTGCCAGCTGTTTCCTGATCGGTAAAGCCCTTCGCTGCCAGTGTTTCTCACCATTTTTACTGTTTTTTAAGAGTTACAGAACGTTGCACGTTAGGATGATGTCGACGCCAAAACAACCAAAACAAAGAGTAGACCCACCTCTTACATCAGGAACAATCCGCGCGTTTTGAGCCTTATCCATTCTTTCATAATCTGTTGTTGAATTGTGATCGGCAGAAGCTTTCCCGGTGTCGTTGCAGGATCGGCTCGGGTGCAGGATCTGCTCGGGTGCAGGATCGGCTCGGGTGCAGGATCGGCTCGGGGTCCTTCGACTGCCAATGACATCAAAGTAGTTGATTGGCTGAACATGAAGCTTACGGAAGTAACGTTATCACGTTATTATTTTGATTGGTCAGAACAACTTTGTGGTCGTAGTCTTAGCGGTTGTAGTCCTGTAGTCCAAAAATCAACACTTTTTGGAGAAAATATGTTTGAATTTCTAAAGGAAATGTAAAATATTAGCAAATGATAAACGGTGACCCTCAAAAGCTCTTGATGTTGATGAAATGGGTCAAAATAAAATATAAGAACTTTATTGAAAGACACCAAGCAATATTTTGAGTCAAAAATGTATTTAGATAACAACTAAGGAAATATACAGATGAACTCCACATTAATACAAACAGATATGGCTTCACATATAAGAACTGTCCTATCTGTTGTCAGTCCGATGTTGGTTTTATGCAGTTTCACATTCTTTACAAAACAAAGATAATATGGTGTTTTATTAACAAATTACAATTATAAAGAAAACATTTAGGTGTTAACAAACAAGAATTTATTAACACAACTGCTGATGTCTTTCCAAAACGTGTGTGTGAAAGCTGAGTAGATTAGCTGTAATGTGACGTCATCGGCAGTCGAAGGACCCCGAGCCGATCCTGCACCCGAGCCAATCCTGCACCGACACCGGTTCGTGCCTCACTTTTTTTACAGCAGTGGCCCAAAACGATCTCCTAACACATGGATGTTCCTGCTTCCTGATCACGTGACGTGTGATGTACGCGTATGAAGATCGGCTTTAGAGCGGAGATGTTTGTTCTCACGGTGCGGGGGCTCGTTCCGACGCCCACACAGTAAAAACATGCAAATGATGACTTTAGTCGTCATTGGCAGTAAATGAGTTAAAAGGGAGTTTTCCTCTCCACTGTCGCTGCATACTTGCTTAGTATGAGGACTGCTGTAAAGACTCTGACACTAGTCAGTGACTCGATGCAACCTGCTGGGTTTCCATATGTAGGTATCTTTTAACTTCTTGTCCTAATGAACTGAACTCAATTGAAATGCTTTACTTTGTGAAGACAACTCTTGTCACGATGTGGCGCTTTATAAATAAACTGAAATGGTTTGTGTCCTCCTGCCTCCCAAAATTCAACACTAACCTGCTACAGGATGCGTTGGAGTCAAGCATGGTCATCGTTTCGGATCGAGGTCGGCTCGGAGTTCCACCTCCTCAAACGGATCTCGATTCCTGGTAAGAGTTCTGTGTCTCCACCGGCTCAATCGGACCGCACCGAGGCGGAAAACAGAATGGGTTTGATCTAAACAAACTAAACGCTGCAGGTGTGAGAACACTAACTGGGTGAACTGGTACTCGGCTCTAAACTCTGTCACCACCTCCATGAGTAATACTTGTCAGAACTAGATCCTGGACCACTTGTTCTGACTCGGTTCTGGATCTGGATGTCACAACGGTTCAATTGAAGTGTTCATCTAAACAGCATCTCTGTAGCTGAGAAATGAGCGGAAAAGAGCAGTAAAGAGATCAAAATGCAACATTTAAAGACTGTGTCAGTACTCTGAGCACAAGCCTCCCTCAGGCTGCATTCATAAATATGTTATGAGTCGGGCCGGCCACTGCAGCCATGATGGATATGCAGGGTGAAGGCGGCCGCGTGAGCGCAGCATGTAAAGGATGATTGGGCCGGAGTTAGCAGCACACCATTAACCCAATCCTCAGGATGCAAACAGACTGGGAGGACAAGGGAATCGGGCCGGTCCAGAAATTGATACCTGCATCAGAAAGTCGGTGAAAACAAGTGCTCACCGTGATGACATCACTTCGAGCATCCTGGTCCCAGAATCAGCTCTGTTCAGTTCAGTCTTCTGTGCATGTCGATGTGAGCTCTGAACTTAAGAAATGTAATGCAAAAATGTGATTTTGTCTGTTTCAAAGAAAGAAAACATCTCACTCAATCTGCATTTTATTTACTAAATATGTAAATAGACTCAGACATAAGAAGCTTCAGCCTCATGATGATTCAGGACTTGAGAAAATTGAATTTTGAGTCATTTCTGACAAAATACACACTTTGAAACTTTATGAGATGTCATTAAACTCATTAGAGAGGTGAAACGGGTTTGTTGATTCTTCGAGACACAGCATGAAACTGTAGGAAAGTCCAGACTGAGCTTCACAGCCGTAGCCGACGCTTTCTCCCGTCTGGAAAAGCTGGAAAACTAAAACCTGAAACCTGCTCATCCATTTAACTTTTCCTTTTTGGCAAAGCTCGCCTTGTTTAAAAAACACCTTTGTTGTTCAAAGAGAAAGAAAAAAACTATTAGATAAGTGTCATCAGATTCAACTCTCCAGTATTTACAGTGTAGGTTACTCTGACAAAGACACCGTTATTTTTACACCACTAGTAAACCTTTTTCTCACGCGCGTGCTTCAGCCTTCTGCTCTTTCATTCATGTTCACCAGCAGCGGAGCGCCGACTTGTGAGCGGATGGCGCTCAGAAGGCTCGTCTTCATTTTTACAGTGTAGCTTTGACTCTGGTCCCCGGACAGTGCCACAAAGTCTCCATCTACAGGAAGTGAGAAGCAGAACAACAACAACCCTAAAGGTCCTCGTGAGGGTGAAGGTAGCTCCATTAACAAAGCTTGGTTCTCCACACACTTGAGAAAGGTGTGCTGATAATAAAACGTTTTTGGTTTGTTATAGTTTTCTGTTATTTGCTTCTTTTGTCATAAAGGGAAACAAAAATAAAACCACTTACCTCCTTTTACTGCTAGTTTACAGATATCTGCAGCTGGGACCCGTCTGCGGAGATCACATTAGCATTATAAATAATTGTCCAGCTCACGTGCAGCCTTAACAGTTCAGGATTTAAAAACAGCAGATTAAATATAATAATTGTCATTAAACTGTTTGTAGTTGTTCTGAGACTTTTATTTTGCAAAGCTGAAAATTTGAAACAGCCTGATTCATGCTTCTCCATCAGCTCCAAAAGAGAGAGACACGCACGGACGGAGACGTTTAGCTCTCATACTTCTCCTTCTCCTGGGGAGTGTTGCAAAGCAATTCCCCGCCAGGACACCAGAGGGCGTAGCGCTGTTCTGTGGTATCCTGTCATGTGTGCGGTCCAAGATAGTGTGTTTATATTGTGTTTTTTGTTTAGAAGATACTTTTTGACACGGACAAATTTGTCTCTCATTCTCTTCCACCTCTTCATGCGCTCGCCACCTCTAAACCCACGTTTCCTGTCATTTCTGCCCACAAATAAAATGCTTCTGCGCATCTTTTCACTCCTCCAGTCACGGGGGAATTAAAAGTTCATGTTTTTAGAGTTTTTTCGCGAGGTATTCTTCAAGCTTCGCCGTGGGTGTTTCTCAATGCCAAGGAACCTTGCCTTGATGTCTTGGCCCCACCCCGGTTGCCTAGGAGATGTGTCATCAGGAGCCGCCAAGACGTGTTCCAATCGATTCCAACGTTCATGTTCTACCGAGGCGTATTCTCTGTTTGTTAGCCATTTAGCTAGCTGGGTGAGGATACACGGGAGGTGTCTTGTAGCAGAGTCTTGGTCAAAATTCACCCAGAACACACCGCGGTGTTTTCAAAAAGACGGCGGATCAGAAGCCGGCAGCTACTTCTGGGAGAATTTTCAAATTTAAAAGTAAGTCAACTAATTTAAAATGTTTTTTTAGATCTAAAAAAGTTATCTGTTGTTGGTTAGTTGCTTAGTAGTTGCAGCTTTGGTGGCTAGCGGGTAGTAACTCGCTTATATTTTTAATTTAATAAACATATACACAATTTAAAAAGTTAAAGCCTCATTATATATTTATATTGAAACTAACACGTATAAAATATAATGTTGTCTCCCGTGTCACGTGACGTTACGTGACCGCCGTGGAAGCCGCGGTCACGTGATGCAAGTCTGTTCCATTTAATCGTTTTCTTTGACCAAGGAAGGAAAATGTCCTCGTAAGCAAGGCGCCTGGCCTCGTCAGACATCGCCTCGCAAGGCCAGGAGCCTTGACATTGAGAAACACCCCGTGTCTGCCGCTAGTTATCCTCGGCTCTCTTTATGAGTTTTAGGGCGCGATGGCAGTGGTGTAGACGACAACCGTGCCCTGACCAATCACAAGCTTGCGTTCTCCATCTTGACGGACGGATGTTTAGAAAAAAGAGCTTGACTCCGTCCGTCATGGCGAGGGCTTTCCAGCAGGCCCGCAAGGACAGATAATGGCGTTGCGTGCCTCCGCACTGACGCAGAAGCATGACTCAGGCTTGAAAAACATGAGATCCTGGCAGACAGAGTGTGTGTGTGTGTGTGTGTGTGTGTGTGTGTGTGTGTGTGTGTGTGTGTGTGTGTGTGTGTGTGTGTGTGTGTGTGTGTGTGTGTGTGTGTGTGTGTGTGCTTTCACAAAGATGTCTGCTCTTTACTGGTGGGTGGTGCAGCTGAAGAGTTTGTTTACTCTAGTTGTTGCTCCCGTGTGGTTTTTCTTCTCATATAAAAGCTTCGTGGAAAAACTTGACGCGTTAAGAGAAAAGCCAAATGAGCGAGCGCACATTTGTCTCCGGCATCGTTTGGCTGTGGGACTCACCGTGATGAAAACAAAGCCATCACAGGGACAGTTTCATTCTTCCACAGACCTATTTCTGTTTCCAGGATGTGATTTTTCTCATCCAGTGACTCGCCGGAGCTCTGAGTCACAACAGAAACCTCAAGTAACAATAATATCACAGCAGCCGGAAGTCCGGCGTTCCATTTGGGAGAAAATGACCATTTTCTCTGCTTCATCTTTCATCCTGGTCCGTGTGAATAATTTCTGACTCCTGCCATGTGAATCAAATGACAGCAACCCAAAAAGGCCTTCCAGGTTCTGAGTGCAGTTTTAAATACACAACATAAAATAAGACATTGACATAAATTCTCAATGTCATACAAGAGCAGCCACAGAAGACAGCTTAATGAGAAGATCAGAGAAATGAACCCAAGGCTGTAGATGGAGGAGAAATGAGGTACTAAAATGATAGGATGTCTCATGGGCGCGGAGAGGAAAAGACAGCTCTCTTTCAGTTCCATGAGTAACACAAGGACACTCAGCTTTAATCCTAAAAATCAGCCTCCGAATCCGTCTCATCTGTTGCCACATTCCCCGCACGAGGCTCCTCTAGCAGCCAGCTCGCTTTCAGAGTTTCTGGGGTTCTTTTGCCTTAAGCCTGTATGTTTTATAGGAAATGAGGTAGAGGTGTTCATGTTCATCTGAGAAAGCCAGAAAATGTAAGAAACCAAAAACATACATATCTGATCTGATAATTTCTCCATTCCTGTCTCTAAATTCTCCTGCTGTCTTCTGGATCCGGGTACTGGCGGCAGAAGCCCAGACCGTCCTCTTCAGAGTCAGCTTATCCCATGGGATTAAAGGGCGATCCCAGATCAGTGGATGTACAGTCGTCCCACCAGAAGGACATGCCTGAAACACGTCCCGCTGAAGGCATCTGATGAACTGAGACTGATCCCAGGCTTGTTAACTATATAAGATCTGGTCTGGATTAATTCTCAGTTATTGTGAAACCAATTAATGCTGGCTGTGTCCTTTGTTTGACAACTGTGTGTGTGTGTATTACTGATAAAGACTTGTGCTTCTCACCCTGAGGTCATAAATATTCTGAGCTGTTTCGTCTCACGGTTCTGTGGTAACCTTTTGACCTCCAGAGAAGTGGAGGAGGCAAGGAGGCTTTTCCTGGAGAAAGTCCAGGTGCACCAGCTAATAGTTATAAAAACGGATCATGTACTCTTAAAATCGATAAGCCTAGCATAACGATAACTAGCATGAAGGAGAAGATTTACTGTTCCTCCCCAAGGCCGAGAGAGGAAGAAGAGTAGTAGAAGGAGGGGCAACGTTAGGCTAAGGTCACCAGAGGCCAAGGTGAGTCGAGAGGAGCAGACTCTGGACAGCCAGCAAAGCCTGCCGGAGGAGATGATGTAATCGCAAGAAGAGGAAACACGTGACCAGACGTTGAGCTCCAGAAGCAGGATGGGGGTGTTGCCATGGAGATGCAACCCCTGAAGAATGCAGAGGGGAGGAGGGACAGAGTGAATAAAAGGAAGATACTGGGTCTGTTCGGGATGAGCTTGATGGGATGAGTGAGAGGCAGTCAGTCATGGACTGAGCTTTTCGGAGAGAGGCTTTTGAGAGTTTTTAGGAGAGGTTGAGCTGGCCTTTTTGGGGGGAAGAGAGTTTCTGATTTTTGTCTGTGTAACCCGCTGCAACGGGATTTTCATCTTTTGTCTGTTTGTGGAATAAAATTTGTTTCTCACTGCGAGGAACTTAAAACGGATCCACGTTCTGGGGGGTCTCCTCTGTCTGTAATCTACGACAAAGGTGAGGTGCTAGTTACCGGTATCCCATTCCAAATGTTTGAATGCTATTAGCTGTTACAACCATCCTTTTGCTACAGCTGAACTAGCGGTTTCCTCAGCATAAAGGGACAGCTATCTTTACCTGAGGCATTCATGAGCCGAAGGATTAGAGAGAGTGTACTGGTGTAATTGAAGTCTTCCTTGTGTCCACTTAAATGTATATTGGTCAGAATTAGAAGTCTTGGGTAATTCGGTGATTGCTAATCATCTCTTTACATAGTGAAGGGTGTTTACTGGCAATTAATGTCACACCCACTACACTGATTGCAGGCCAAACCTGAGATTTTAAAAACATCTAATTAAGAGTGGAGCTAGTCCAGCAAATTGGCTTGCAATAGCATCCTCACCTGAACCTGAGGAGCAGCGTAGACTCCCAGCCCCTCCCAGATAACTGAGCTCTATCTCCAAGGCCCCGGTTGCCTAGGAGAGACATCATCAAGAACCGCCAAGGCGTGTTCCAATGCTCATGTTCTACCAAGGCATCTGTTCTCCATTTGTTAGCCATTTAGCTAGCCGAGCAAGGATACAAGATAAGGAGGGGCGTTTCTCAATGTCAAGGCGCCTGGCCTTGCAAGGTGATGTCTTGCGAGGTCAGGCGCCTTGCTTACGAGGACACTGTCCTTCCTTGGTCAAAGAAAACGGTTAAATGGAACAGACTTGTATCATGTGACCGCGACTTCCACGACAGTCACTTAATGTCACGTGACAAGGGAGAAAACGTTATATTTTATACATATTAGTCGTCGTCATCTTCCTCCGCTTATCCAGGTCCGGGTCGTGGGGGCAGCATCCCAACTAGGGAGCTCCAGACCGTCCTCTCCCCGGCCACCTCCACCAGGTCCGCTGGCAGGACCCCAAGATGTTCCCGGACCAGAATGGAGATGTAACCTCTCCAATGTGTCCTGGGTTGACCCGGGGGCCTCCTGCCGGCAGGACATGCCCGAAACACCTCCCCAGGGAGGTGTCTGGGAGGCATCCTGACCAGATGCCCAAACCACCTCAACTGACTCCTTTCGATCCCGAGGAGCAGTGGTTCTATTGCGAGTCCCTCCCGAATGTCCGAGCTCCTCACCCTATCTCCAAGGCTGAGCCCGGCCACCCTACAGAGGAAACTCATTTCGGCCACTTGTATCTGCGATCTCGTTCTTTTGGTCATTACCCAAAGCTCATGACCATAGGTGAGGATTGGGAAGCAGTTTGACCGGTAAATCGAGAGCCTGGCTTTCTGGCTCAGCTCCCTCTTCACCACGACAGATCAGCTCAGCTTCCGCATCACTGCAGACGCTGAACCAATTCGCCTCCCGATCCCTCCTACCCTCACTCGTAAACAAGACCCCGAGATACTTAAACTCCTCCACTTGAGGTAGGACCTCTCTCCCAACCCAGAGTCGGC